GGTAGCTGCGTTTCAAATGACGGTAGCATAGTCAATGAAGTAACCACCCGCATTTCCAAGACTCGAATAGCTTACGCAGGATTGAAACACCAAAGGTGTAGACGCGATGTTTCGTTAAAACTGAAAGGTCGTGTATACTGCGCCAGTGTGCGGCCAGTTCTATTCTATGGTTGCAATACCCTAAATTTGCGCGTGGAAGATATCCGTCGTCTTGAAGTATTCGACTGCAGATGTTTACGTAGTTTGGCTCGGGTTGGATGGAGCGAGCTTGTAAGCAACTCCGAGGTGAGGCGTCGCGTACTCGGTAATGATTTGATGGAGAATTCGTTGTCCCATCGTATTCAGATTAGTCGGCTTCGCCGATAGGATATGTATTGCGCATGTCCAGCCATCGTCTGCCGCACCGCGCCTTATTCGCAGTTGCAGCTCNACAGATGAGGTGGAAGCGAGGTATGAAGAAATGCACAGAACGATTAGGTAGAATCGGTGTCTCCCGTCTTCCAGGTTGGGGTCCGAAAGACTCTACAACTGTTTGGCTGGAGACATTAAAGGATATGGCGACTGACCGACAGTAGTGGCGTTCTTATTGTCATTTCTTAACAAGACAGAATGCTTGAAAAAGGTATGCATGAACACTTAGATTGTGTACTGTGTTGACCATAGAGGTTCATTTTCTTTGCCTCCCTCCAAGTGGGCCCATCCCTCTCCATGTTTTATCACTTGATTTGTGTACATTGTGAGCTTGGCAGCGATCAATGAAGCTCGCTCCACTGTATCTCGCTGTACGATGATGATGATGAACCTTCGGAGGTCATAATATTCAAAATTTTTACTACTGCTCTAAAGCACTTGCGCTTGCAATCTTGATCGTTTGACACTGACCTGCATGAAGAATCAACCAAATAAGATCCAATCTTGGAGTGGGGAAAATACTTTTCGAAATAAATCAAGCTCCGTGAAAAATTACTAAATTCATGTATATATATATATATTTGACTATGGCACAGCTACTGGAAGAAGCAGCTAAACTTTTCAAATTGGATTACACAGCCGCAGCACCGGAGATGATCTCCGTAAGCTCACGAGTGATGGCGGCCTGGCGAGTCCGATTGAAGCTTAATGTGAGTTTATCGATCATATCACCTAAAAGATTATGAAATAATGGCTGAAAGGAAAAGCCAATCTCACCGGCATTTTTAGTAGCCGAGTCCATAGCAGTCATTCGAGCTGATTGTTCACTAGCCGTTGATTCTTTCATGGCAAAGAATATCAGTGATGTCAGCAGATATTCATTGTAGCTTTGAAGAACCTCGTCATCCACGGAGTCATATAGAGATAGTTTCGGCGATGATGCAACTTCCTGTAAACTATTCAGATTCTGTGGGGTGGTAATGTAAGAAACCACAGATCTGAGAAAAATGCCGCAAATGCATAAATACCTACTTGAACGTGTTGTAGTACATAACAGCCTTGTTGAACTTGTATTCGGAATTCAATATCGACTCAGCGATAAGAGCTGCGTCTTCGAATGTAGGAGATTTTTTGCCTACATCGTTGAACGTCAGTAGAAACATGTTGCGGTACTGACGCAGTAGCATGGCACGCGACTTATCGCCGACTAAAACCAGCTTGGTATTTTTCTCATATTCTGGGTTGCCTTGCACCAAGTGCCGGATAGTCTATCAAATGGTCACGCAAGCTGACTTATCTCACCTTCACAATGCTGCTGTTAGCAGCCCCACATAATCCTCGATCGGATGTTATGGCGATTAACAACGTATTAGGTTTGGGTTGCGTGTCGATTGTCGCGAGATCCGTTGACTCATAGAAAACTAAAACTTGTATAAGATATATTAGCAAATTAAACCTTTAGCTCCTTTTCCATAAGGGCGGGCAGGACGTAAGTCACGCTCTGCTCTGGCGAACTTCGAAGCAGATACCATTTTCATGGAGGCAGTAATTTTTTGGATATTTTTAACTGACCTCAGTCGAACGGCGATATCTTTCAAAGTTGCCATACCACACACCTGTTGGCTATACGAAGGAAATGCGAC